TATTGCATGGTAAGTATGGGTATGAAGAGGATGAATCCAGAGTTGGGAAACAGCGGGGGAAATTTAGATGCAATCAATCTCGTTAATATTGTACTAGGCTCTAGCTCCATTATTGATAGGTTGGTTAGTTATATCTCTTCTCATTTGAAACCTGCAAAAACACATGCTCTTATCTCCAAGCCAATGGTTGGTTGTTGTGTAACTTTTAAGGTTGAATGATTGACGAAAACAATTAAAGCATCTTTCTGTATCTACATCTTTACTTCTGGCAGTGTTTCTTTGTTATTAACCATAACAACAAATTCCAGTTTTGTTATTTGAAAGCAACACTGTTTTAGTACATTTGTTTTCTTCCCTCTCTTGCATTGCACATGTCAATTGGGTTGTGTCAACACACTTCGGATTGAATTTGGGTTGGGTTGGATGAGCAAATACTATACGTTATCCTTAAATTTTTGGATTAGGGTTGGCCCATGAATCAATTCGGATTATCCAAAAAAAATAACTGAAATATAAAAAAAAAAGAAAAATACAAGAAAATGCCAAAATAAAAGAAATTAACCAAAAATAAAATAAAAAAACTTAACCATCTAATGATTTAAAGAGTAAACAATAAAGTATAAACATTAAATAGAAAAGATTTCTAATAATACATAAATAATCCCAATTTGATCTAACAATCAGGTTAGCGGGTTGACCCATGACCTAACCCAACCCAATTTTTTTCAGATTGAATTGGGTCAGATCATCTCAAATTCAGATAACTAGATGTGAAACCCTATCCCTGTTTTTTGGGATTGGGTTGAATTGGGTTCGTGGATTGGACCAACTTTTTGCCATGTGCTACATAATTAATTAATAAAATTCATTGATTGCTTGTTTAGGTGTAGCAAGTTTGGTAAGAGAAATGAGTGAAGCCTGTGTGGAACCAATAATAAGGTTTTATGTCAGTATTAAATATATGGGGCCTGCATTTTTTACATTGAGGCCCATGAATGTATGAAACCTCATCATGGTTCCACACCCCCCTGAACAGGGTTCAGTTCAGTTAATCTGAATTGGCATCAATCCACCAAATAAGTTGCCCTATTTGCATTGAGAGAATGGGTGCACGTATCATCATCAATCATAAAGGCTCTATATAATCCTGTGCCCTTTTCAGCTGACACGCACCACAGATCTTGTCCATCATGTACTGAAGAGAAGATTGTGGAGGCCCCTGTATCTGTATGTAATTGTGGTTTTGTTGTTGTGGTGAAACTTGAAAGAAGAAATTCAACTTTTACATGTCAGATTATATGTATGCATATGCAGATTTTGAGTGGTGATTATAATAGGACCGGGTGGGTTTTTAATCTGAAATTGTCATTTTGTAGAGGATGTAAAAAATATTTTGAGAAGAGAGAACAAAAGAATTAATAGATTTTGTTGTTTGAATGTTTCTAGGGAAAATAATGGATTTATTGTCAATTTTGGTCTTATGGAGTCTGATCGGCAACCCATACAGATTCATTCCAACATCATCTACAGCGGCACAACTCAAGTACCACCCCAACTATGACAACATACAAATACTAAACTAAACATGTTTGAGATGTGCGGCTGTAGATCATAATGGAAGCTGTGTGGGTAGATTGAGGTACTGGCCTACTGGGTCTATTACCATTAGGGCTACAATTTGGGCAGTCCAACCCAAGTTTTTGCATGGGTTGAGTTTGAGGGCCCATTTGGTTAATGGGAATAGGGATCTGGAGTCGGAATCGGAATGTTTTGATTCCAATTATTTGGTTGGATGGAATCAGAATATCATTACCATTTCTGCTGGAATGGCATTGCCCCATTTGAGGGGATGTCATTCCCTCCCCCTCCCCCTCCCCTTGTGAATGAAATCCCATTCCAGCGTGATCGGCTTCGGCCAGGGTAAACGCGTGTTCACACTGTCCCAATAACCACTTGCAACCTTATATTGGGAATATCTCCCCATGAAATAAAAGCACACGAGTAGGGAGATATTCCCAATGCAAGACTGTAAAGGCTGCTCGAACGGGCATTGCCCTGATGAAAGCCAAACTCCATTCCAGCTTATTCCAATTCTGATTTCAATTCATATCTAAACCAAACAGACTATGGGAATAGATCATTCTGATTCCGATTATAAACCAAACGGACCCTGAATTCTTGGGCTATGATTTAGGCTCCGCTAGGAAATTTGGGTCTAACCTAAACTTTGGGTTGAACTTGGAACGAGGCCTTAGGGTTGCCTGAGCCCAACTTGAGCCCAGCCCAATCTAATTGAAGCTTGCCCATCCAAATATATACATACTTATATAGCATTTTATTTATATATAAAAATATTATTTTTCTATTTATATATTACATGTATATAATGAAATGTGTAGATATTTTTAATTAATTATACTTATAAATTGGGCCATAAAACCCAATACGATTATTTAAAAATATATTCATAAATTCTTTCAAATCCAATCAAACCATGACTAAGCCCAGGCCAACGCCATCCAAGCTCAAAGCGAGCCCAAATTTTATTGGGTTGGGCCTATCTTAACCTAGGTAAGGTCACACACGAACCCGGGGTTTGTACTTGGGCATGGCTTTACCTTCAACCCGACCCAACCTGGTAGAGTTGCAACCCTAATTACTAATGACTGGGTGTGTTTTACATAAGATAGATGACATGCAATATGCAAATGTTCCTATTCGATAAATCAATGCCAAGTGGCAAATATCAAAATCCACTTAGCAGATGAATGCGTATCGCTTAATATATAAAAAGAAATACAAATGTAGGCCATTTTCAATGGTTGTGTTGTAGAAGCAAAGAAGGCAGCAAAAGGGAAAAAGTAGAAATCAAAATCAATGATATCGTCTACTACAAACAGGATCGCTGTTATTCATGATTTTATTTTGTCTCCTTTGCTTTGTGATCAAACACAATGTTTCCATGGCTTGAAGAAAGAGCCAGTGCCCATGCAATTGTGTGGACCAAAGTCTAGGGCACTCCATCATACTCTCTCTCTCTCAAGCCGTTAATGAATGTCGACAAACTATACTTTTGATAAATAAACTAAAAAAGACTGGTCTCCAGTTCCTCTACCTCTTAACACAAAATTCCCTTCACGTTTACTGAATAGGCCGGCTCTTCTTTATCACAGTTTCACCTGTTTGGTAGCTAGTCTTATTTATTTCTAAGTTTTTATATTTCCTTCAGACAGAATATTTAATCTTTAGACTCAGTTTGGGAAAGAGTGCCAATATAAATATATTAAGTGCATAACCCTATATTTGTATTTTTAAACCTTGTATTCTTTGTATTTGCACTCTTCCCGAGCTTAATGCCAGTTTAGTAAGAATGTATTTATATACTTGAAATGACAATTTCACAAATTTCAATGAGAGAAAAGTTTGCATCCAATTCAAACTTGATTAATGTTAAAAAAAAAAAAAACTAAGTTCCAATCTAGGAATCGGTGTTTGCACCCTCTAACAACTTGATTTAACATCACACATCTCATCATGAGACTAGGACCCACCATAAAAATGGAACCCGCCTTGTATGAGATGTGCGGTGTAAGATCATGTTGGTAGAGGGTTTGAACATGTTTTGTTGGTAAGGCTCAGTTTGGAAGGAGTATAAATGCAAATATGTAGAGTGCAAAGCTTTATATGTTGTATGTATTTGCATTGTACATATTTGTATTTGTACTCTTTCCAAACTGAGACTAAATGATCCAAATTTCTGTTTTGAATATTCTTCAGTAGAGATGTCAATGGGTGTTAAATGCTAAACCCAGCTTGATCCAACCCTATAGGGTTGGGTTGGGGTCAAGTATATTTGATTTAGAGTCGGATTGGGGTTTTGATCCTTTGGCCCAAGTCGGGTTTGGGTTTTGGCTGACCCACCCCGCCGGGTCATGATACCTTGCATATATACCTAGTATTATTGCAATTTTTCGACTTCTAATTTTATAGGCTTAAAGTTTATAATTTATTTATATATTGATTTTGATTTTCTTCTTTTTTTAAAATGGAAAAAATAACACCCTAAAATCTATAAAACAATTTCCTTACTTAAATTAATGTATTTTAGGTCTTCAAAATGTATTAAAAAAAATACATTTGAAATTATGCGGGTCAATTCAGGTCGGACTCAAATTAAACCCTGTAGTGTCGGTCGAGCTCTGGAATCATGCATTTTTAAGCTGGGTCGGGTCGGGTCAGCTTCTGGCTGGAGTGCTGGAGGGTCGATCGGGTTAGGGTTGAGGCAAACTTGTGCCAAACCCGACCCGTTGATTGACATCCCTATTCTTCATGAGATATTTCCTTATTCTTTGTTGAATGAAAACAATGTCAAATGGAAAAATCTGTCATTAAATAATAGATAGAGATTTTGATAAATAAAACAAAAAAAAATTATGGGGTAGGATAAATCATGAATTTATCATAAATTAGTAATTGTAAATATTCTTTATTTACTCTTCGCTCATGGTAAAGTGTCCATGTAAATGGAATTAACCTCCAAAACAGTCCACGTCATTTCTTCCAAACAGCCAAAGTTTTACATATCCATCCAGTAAGGCAGTAATTAACTCCATTCGGCATGGCTGAGCACTCTGATCCAGCAGTGGTAGATTTTTATAAAGGTCCCACCATCGAAGATCTTGCAACTTAAAGACTGATCTAACTCTAATGATTGTAACTGGTCTCATCAATCTCATTCTCTTTTCATGGTCAATGGACAAGAAAGTGGATTTGGTAGAGGAAAGAATGGAAAAATTTTAGACACAATCCCTTTGTCACTTGTCAGGTCACTTCCTGGTGGGACCCGTTGAATGGTAGGCCCACTTTTGGTTTCCTTCAGATGAACCTTGACACGTTCCAAGTAGAATGGTGGGACCCGTTATTAGTGATAACAATAGACTTGATAATTCTCTATAAAGACTCCCCACCCTTGAGTCAGTCACCCACCAGCAAATTTATTATAAGCCTTGATAATTCTCTAGTATCTCGTTAGAGATCTCTGTCGACGTTCATTCATTCATCGAAAAACTCCTCCAACACCCCCTCGAGAGTCGATCGAGACGCCATGATTTCTGAGGGAAACCAGTCGAAGCACGTCTGCGTGATCGGCGCAGGTCCTTCGGGTCTGGTTTCAGCTCGGGAGCTCAGGAAAGAAGGGCACACTGTGGTGGTGTTGGAACAGAACCATGACGTCGGAGGGCAATGGCTTTATGACCCCAGAGTTCAAAGAGAGGATCCCCTGGGAAAGGGTCCTACCCTACAAGTTCACAGCAGTGTATACGCCTCCCTTAGGATGATCTCCCCTCGAGAGATCATGGGCTTCACTGATTTCCCATTTTTGGTCAAGAAAGGTCGTCGGGATGCCAGGAGGTTCCCCGGCCACAGGGAGCTCTTCTTGTATCTCAAAGACTTCTGTGACTGGTTTGGACTGAGAGAGATTATAAAGTTCAACACCAGAGTTGAGTACGTGGGTATGTTGGATTCCGCCGGAATTGGCAGCAGTGACGCCAAGTGGGTTGTTAGAAGCAAAGACAACGACTCCGGCGAGGTGGTGGAAGAGGTTTTTGATGCAGTGGTGGTGGCCACTGGTCATTATTCTCAGCCTAGGTTGCCTTCCATTAGAGGTATACTTATTATAAAACGTTAATCTCTGTCACCCTCTCCTCTCTCATTTCTCTCTACTTTCTAATCTCCATCATAGAGATCATCACTAAGCTGGTTTTGCTTTAAAATGAAACGTAAATTAAAGCCGATTAATTAGAAATGTATAATCGTATATACAAATAGTTGGTTGATTTATATATTTTGTTTCTGGTGGGTGGCATTTCAACTTTCAAGGGATGGATGCATGGAGAAGGAAGCAAATGCATAGTCACGTTTACAGGGTTCCCGAGGCATTCCGTAATGAGGTTTGCATTCATTAATTAATTTCTGATATTATCATACCTTCAAATGGTTGATTAATTTTTCTCTTTCTGCTGCAGGTTGTGGTGGTTGTAGGGAGCTCATTCAGCGGACAAGATATATCAATGGAGCTTGTGGATGTGGCAAAAGAGATTTTTCTCAGCTCTAAATCCCTTGAAATTTCAGAGGGCTTTGCTAAAGTAATTTCCAAACATGATAATCTGCAACTTCGTCCTCAGGTATATATATATACATATAGCTAGATCCTCTTTTAGTATAGGGTACCCTATACTGATAATGACTTGAATTAATCATATAAAATTATTAAAAAAAATGTATATATGAAATGCAGATAGATTCCCTGCGTGAGGATGGACGGGTTTTATTCGTGGATGGCTCTTGGGTAATTGCAGACTCCATCATTTATTGCACAGGGTACATAATTCTCATCATAATTTTCCATCAATTCATCCCCACCACAAATCATTTCTTTTCCAAGTTTCAATGGAAATTTTATAAATAAATAATAAATTATAAATCCCTGTGCTTTTCTATATGTAGGTATTCATACTCATTTCCATTTCTTGACACCAAAGGAATAGTGGTGGTGGATGATAACAGAGTGGGACCATTGTATGACCATACATTCCCACCATCACTTGCCCCCTCTCTTTCTTTTGTGGGCATTCCTAGAAAGGTTAATCCTTCTTCTTCTTCTTCTTATTTTCTGTGACTTAACTTACTAATTGTATATATGTATGTATATAAGTCTTTTAATTTATTGATTTATTATTTGTTGTATGTATGTATGTAGATCATAGGGTTCCTTTTCTTTGAATCACAAGCAAAATGGATTGCTCAACTCCTGTCTGGGAAAAGAAGATTGCCATCATGGGATGACATGATGCTGTCCATTAAGGAGTTTTATCATTCAAGGGATGTTGCAGGCATACCCAAGCGCAATACACACGACATTGCAGATTTTGAGGTACCAATCGATCTCCTACCACATTGCCTTACTACCCCTTTTTGCTTTTGCTTCATTCCTTAGTTTCAATTGTTTCTAACACAATGTGCATCTACCTAGAACATGTGCCAGCTTGCTCTTTATTTCTTCTTTTCTTTCTCTTTTTGGTGATGGTTGATAGATTTCACAAACTTGAGGATGCAACCTTCACCTGCTACGGGTAATGACCTAGAAGAGTGGCAGAGCCAGGAATTTTCTTTTGGGAGGGTCAAGTTAAACAAGAAAATGAAATAGGGAGTAGAAGAGGTAGGGTTTTAAGAGAAATTAATGGGGCAGAAAGGTTTGGGAGTTGGAGGAGCATTAGAGATTGATCCTTAACATTTCAATTCAAGTTTTTTTTTTTCTTTTTTTTTGGGGGGGGAGGGGGGGTTACTACTTTTTTAACCCAATCTCCACTTACTAGCTATATAAATGATAGTTTTAACAAAAAGAAAAAGAAAAAGAAAAATCGGGATGCTCCTGATTGGTTACTTTACCTATTTTATACAAGAACATTTCCCCATGAATGACAATTGAGATATTCCGGATGTGTGTCTCTAGTATCCTGTGGGTAATAGATCTGGAGCGACTTTCTCCATAGTAAAAAGAGAAGGAAATCTCCATCTATGCACTATGCATGCTCAAATGATCTAATATTGTTTCACTTCAGTCTTAGCCTTGTTTGGATCTGGTCATTTTCTGCTGCTTTAATAAAATTTCTTTTATGGGGTTAATTAATTAATTTAATTCCTTTGCTTTTCTTGTAGTATTGTGACAAGTATGGAGATCACTGTGACTTCCCACATTTAGAAGATTGGAGGAAAGAGCTATGCATATCAGCTATAAGAAATTCTCTAATCGATTTGGAAACGTATCGTGATTCATGGGACGATGATGAAATGCTTCAAGTCGCCCATCAGAGTCCTCATTTTACCCAATTTGGACCCCCCGATGCTCTTAACCTATAAACTTCATTTATTATTCTATTGGTAATTGATTGATTTACATTGTTAAGTTAATTTGTTATTGTTGCTTAAAATTGATTCATCAGTCCTGAGGACTGATGCCATTTTGGCCATCTTATAGTTCTGTAATTCAGCTCATTAAGGATTTCCCAACAATATAATCAAATACCACATACAGTTATATGCTGTGCTTTAATTAGTTGTAGTTATAAACAAGGTTCTCAATGCAGATTCTGGGAAGTCTGATAATGGCTCTGAAGTTGCTGAATTGAGCAATTTATTTAGTGGATAAATTAATTAAATAATCTATAGTAGTCCTTTACCCAATTTGGAAGCGATGTAAATATTTACGTCAGTTTGGTTTTGTTGGCATTTAGAATGAGTGTAAATTATGATCGACGTAAAATTCCACTTCTGGTTCGATTTTGTCAGCATTTGGATGGAGTGGAATTTAAATTTTATGCTTTTCAAAACTCAAACGGTCACTTTTTACCATTTGATGTAAAGCGTCATCAATGTACTTTTACACCAATGATGTTTTAGATCAATTCCAAACGCAGCCTTAAGGAGGAGCCCACAACCTCCTCAAAACAATAAGCTCTTCGGTTCAGCTACTTCAGCTTCCCTAAATTTGAACCCAACCCAAATTGATAACGGGCCTTGATTATTAAATGAGCCCATTTTTATTGGGCCCAGGCCTCTCTCTACATGGGTCTAGCGGCCCAGTCTCGAAAGGCAACGTTTAAAAGTTTAAACTGTAATAACGACCTTGCACATTCTTCTGAGCGGGAGAGATGAGAATGGAATGTAGTCTGTCAACTTACAAAGAAAGGAAAGAAATGTGAAATTCTTATTCAGTCATCTTCTCCAAATGTAAACGACAGATCCTCTTCTTTTCTTTCCTCAATCTTACAGTTTTAAGGCCGCCCTTCTTCCCGAACCCGAGATTTAGGCGACCTTTCCTCCAAAGTAAGGGCTGAAAAAATGCGTTCAAAACTCCCTCCAAATTTAGCAGAGATACAATTAAAGATGCTTCATTTCTCGATGGAAAACATGGAGGTCGCCTCCTGGCCCCCTTGAGTTAGCCCATTCCCTTATGCGGAGATTCCAAGCGTTTTCTAGGGTTTTCCTGTTCCCAGTTTTCGTTCTTGGGAAAAAAACGGGTACCTTAGATTCGCTTCTTTCTTCCCTACTTCGTCTCGGAATATGGTCTAGAAGAGGGATTTCATCACTTAACGTTCAGCTCTGCTGGTATGGTGTTTTTATTATGTATGTCGTCATTATGTGCACTGACAAAAGTTAAATAAAATGTACAGCTTTTGATATCAGAATTTCATTTTAGTTTCTGGATCGTTTCTCAATAATACTTGTTGTCGGTATATTTTCTTAGATGGGTTAGGAATAAATTTACTTGGGTAAATGAGTGCCATGGAAATGTGTATTTCATCTCTGATGAAGTGTTGGAGGTTGAAAATTCCAACTCGTCAGATGCTTTTTCTGGACTATCTTTAACATTTTTCTACATCCTAATCAATATTATAAATCAGTCATTTTGTCAAAAGCCGTATGGTATCTTCATATAGCCTTCTACATGTTCTGAAGTCCTCGAGTTGATTCCTAATTCATATAAAACAAGCTTCTTATATACTTCCCTGGTTATCAGTCATTTTGCCAAGACGGGTGTCTTCAAATAGCCTTACATAATTTTAGGCATAAATTATCAAATCTGCAACTGGTTTATTTTAGTTTTAATTTATTTTCTTTCCTCAAATTTACTTTCAGGTGGCATAATCTGATTCAGATTAACCTAATTACTTCCACAAGTCTATCTTAATTCTCAAAATTAAGGTTTTTTCTTTTAATTTTTTATTCTCCTTTTCATGTGGTAGATGAAAAGGGAAAATGGTTCTTGATGGTGCAATAAGTTCCAACATGGAAAAAGTGAGTTCACAAATCCAATGTTGGAATACCGTTCTACATTCTTGTGGCAAACCAATTTCCTCCATATGTTCTTCACAGATTGGATAATAACAATTACCAACTTATAAACTCCACGATCAAAATCATCAAATCGTTTATATTTATGCAAATAGCTTAACTTGGTACCTCTCCAAAGTCCTAAGGTGAACATAGGAAGAATATTAAAACTCTACATAAGAATCAATATTATATGGATGAAGCTTATGTGCCTTGGACTGCTTATTTTTCTTCAAACAACTCCTGCACCACAGGAGTCTGCAAAAAGAGTTCTGGAATAAATGGACGTCCATAAAATGCTTTATCATTACTTTGGAGCTTGAGTTCCTAATTTACAGGTACATCATTATCATCCAAGCCTTATCCCATCCCCAACTATATGGGGTCGGCCACATGAATCTTGTTTCATTCTGTTTTGTTTAATGTCATATCCATGTCCTTTTTTGTCTACCCCTAGCCTGTTTAGCCCATTCAACTGGCAACAAATCATTTCTTCTTATGGGTGTTGTTGATGATCTTCTATGCATGTGACCAAACCATCTTAGTAATTTCTCTCATCTTATCACTTATTGGGGTTTCTCCTAGGTTCCTTCTAATGATTTCATTTCTAATCCTATCCTTTCTAGTTTTTTTTTCCTGTTTATCCATCTCAGCATATGCATTTCTGCCACACTCACTTTTTGGACAGTTATTTGTTGATTGCCCAGCACTCTACTCCAAACAACATAGTTGGCCTTACAATTGTTTTATAGAATTTTCCTTTTAATCTAAGTGGTGTTCGCATATCATACAAACTTCCAAATGCACCCCTCTATTTTTCCCACCCAACTATAATTCTATGGGTGACATCCTCCTCAATCTCTCCCTTGTTATGAATTATTGAATCAAGGTACTAGAAAAGGTCATGTTGAGTTATCTCTTGGCCTCCAATCCCGAGTCCTTGATCTATACTCTTATTATTAAATTTACATATCATACATTCTGCTTTAGTCCTACTTATTTTAAAACCTCTTGTTTTTAAGGCATTTGTCCAATAAGCTCATGGTTCAAAGTACCGATACACCTCGGTACGCCACAAGTGGTGTATCTACACTTTGAACCATGTTCATCTTATTTTTTTAGTTTTTTTCTCAAAATTTCATAAGAAGCTTGTTTTTATGTTATTTAATTATTAAAAAAGAGATTTTGTAAAAATACCTTAAAAGGGGTATTGGTACCCCAAAGCTGTGATATGATATGCCTGATACAGGATATATCCCATCAATACTTTGAACCTTCCATAAGCTTAATTTCACATCTAATCCTTCATTAGTTTCATCAAGTAAAATAATGTCATCAGTAAGCAACCACGCACCATGGGACCTCCTGAATAAGGACTAAATGCTAAAGCTAAACCTTGGTGAAGATCCACCGTAACCATAAAATTTGATGTATTTCTCACAGGTGTTCTAACATTGATTGTCACACTCTCATACATATCCTCAATGTGGTCTATATACCTATTTAGAACCCCTTTCTTTTCCAAGATCCACCATATTATAACTCTAGGAACTCTATCATATGCTTTCTTTTGATCAATGAACACCATATGAAGATCTCTCTTTTTCTGACTAAGCCTTTCTATCAGTTGTCACAAAAGAAAGATAGCCTCCTCATTCAATTTGGTGCAGTGCTAACATGATGGTAGATTCTTTGGCTAGAAATGGGGATGGGAGAGCAATTTTAGAATGGGGATGCCCAGGACCGGACTGTAATTTGTAAAAGTTGTTTTTTTGCCTTCTCTGTTTTCTGTTTTCTTTCTTCTTTCTTATTGTGCTGTGTTGATTCTCCTTAAACGGAGAGATGAGACATACATTGTGGCCTACTGCCTGTCTTTTTGAGCAGTATGGTGGCTTCTTTCAATGCAATATTTTCTGTTATTCATCAAAAAAATAAAAGATAGCTTCCTAATTTACAGTCACATTTTCAATCATTTTTCTCCAGGTAGTATATTAAATCAGCCAAAATGGGGCTGAAAATATCAACACAGGGGCCAGGCACAATAGGGAACCTGGTGGAGTTCCATCATCCTTATTATTTGCTTAATTATCTCACCAGAACGCTCTACATCCATCACCTGGTCTCCAAGCAACGGAGGCGAATGCTTGTTGGAGGATATGACCTTGATATGTCATATATCACAGACCGCTTGTTGGCAATGTCATTTCCTGCAGAACACATGCGAGCAATGTACCGAAATCCACTCTGGCAGGTCAAGTCTGTGCTAGACATGAAACATCTGGGGCACTACAAGGTGCGGTTATGCAACCACAGTCCTCCCCTTATTTTCTTCTTTTGGAATCCTTCATTCCCTATCTTGTTTTTATGTATTTGAATAATAAATAGGTGAACAACATCATGTTCCCCAAATCTAGTTGCTGGGGGGTTTGTTTGTAATTTATTATAATTCTGCTGGCAAGTACTGGCCTAGCACATGGTTTTCGTTTATATAATATATATATTTAGTATTTCCTTTGTTTTGTTTAATTTTATCAAGTATTTAGTTATCAAAACGTCTGGTTAAATATCATTTTTTATCAAGCATAACAATGGCCTTTGTTAGAAGAATTGGATTCGTACTTCTCTTTTACCTTCTAATAAAATGCTTTTGATCCAATAATTTTTTTTATTGGAAAAAAAACGTTATTGATCCACAAATTAAACAACAATTATATAATTTAGTATATTTCTAGATTTTGGAACTTAATTTTGTACTTTGCAATAATGTTTTTTTTTTGTTGGTGCTTGTAGGTTTACAACTTGTGTGCAGAGGAAAGTTATGATCCATCACATTTCCATGGATGTGTGGAGATTTTCCCATTTGATGACCACCATGTCCCATCCCTCCCAATGATCAAGCTCTTCTGTGAAAGTGTGCATTCATGGCTTTCTCTTGATCCACAAAATATTGCAGTTATACACTGCATGGTACAATCTGCAACCTTCTTCACTTTATCAGATTGTTCTACACATTTGTTAGACTACATTAAAATGTTTGTCCAAATGTTTATTTTCCAATTTTCAGACTTCTTATTTCTCTCAAAGTTTAATATTTGCACCCAGGCTAATATGTCTGTGTTTGTTATCAGTAATGAAGCTTCCTATGGTCAAAAGAACAGAATGACATGCATTTGAAATCCATTAGGCAGAGAAGGCCAGCTGACCTTGAAATCCATTTGAAGTGCTGGTCAACCTGTGATCAGAGTATGAATATTGTTTGATCTATATGAGTCACGAAGGTTCAAAATGTAAAAATGCAGTTGTCAATTGTGACTTGTGACAAACATGTGAATATTCATATCAAATTTATCTAAATTGTGATCAATTGGGTATCCATAAAGTCAACCTGGATCAGCTCAAGTCAAATGGGTCACAATTCATAAACAGAGTTGAGTATGCACAATTACTTTTCCCAGGCTTATACCTGATTGTAGGATCCCTTTTATCCTACAATGTTTGGAGTACAAACCTTCTTTCTAATAATTTTGTGTAAGGTCTGCATATGCTGATCTAACTAAATCATCTTTAAAAAGATGAAATTATTAACATGTCCATGCACCATGCATGAAATCTGAGATGGAATTCTGTTTTCACTAGTCAAACTTCTAATACACAACTGACTAGTTAATGCCTATAGTCTAATTTCATGTCTTTGAATTTTGGCTTCTTTGTGGGGTAATTCATAATTTACTCTTCCAGGCAGGAAAAGGTCGGACAGGCTTAATGGTATGTGCCTACTTAATCTATTGTGGCATGTCGGCAGAGGAAGCTCTTCAGCTGTATGCACAAAGACGAACTACCAACAATGAAGGAGTAAGTCATGCTATATAACAAGGACAATCCTGTTCAAAGCTATTGATAAGAAAAGAAAAATCTGTTCAAAGCAGATAGAAAATTATCATTCCTGGTAAATTGCCATATTCTGAATATGTCCTTGTTAATCCCATGACCGATCCATGTATGTCGACATGTTTTAGTCAATTCCATGTTGTATACATGTAAGAGACATAAAATATGCGTAAGTATTTGCATATGGAATATGCACCACCATTAATGAGAATGACACCAAATAGTTACCAGGACACAACATTTTTCTGTGCAGACTTTTTTTTCACAGGGGGGAAGGGGAAAATGGTAAACTGGTATTACTAAGAGAGTAAGAGGGAGAGTTTTCCTCACAAAAACTTGTATAACAGAGTATAGTGTGTAACTGTGTTTTCTATGTCATATTTACCTTATTCCCCCAGAATCTGTACACCAGAGAAACCCCAAAAACAGAAGTTCTAAGAAGCATAAATAACAATGCTATTCCAATGATCCCTAAGGCTGTTGACTGTGGTCCCAAAAAACTGCTTTCACACACCAGCTCACACCATTAGATTCCATTCAGCCTTTCTTATCACTTCCTCCACAAGTGCAGATTAAGCAATGTTCTTAATCACCGGCAATGCCTGATTTTGTTCATATGTATATAATTATTTATGTACTTGTGATGAGAAAATTTAATTCATTATACTGTCAATACCAATTGCTGTTTCCTTGTAATTCCATCCTTAACAGGTTTCGATAGCAAGCCAACTCCGTTATGTGGAATACTGGTCCAAAATATTAACTTTTCCAAGGGGAGTTGGTAATGGACCACCTGATGTGAACTTACCTCAACCATGTAGCAGGGAATTGCGACGAATCCGACTTTATGACACGGTTAACACTGACTCGGTTTTTTTTGTGATCTCAGAGGTACAGGAGGTATGTCTCTAACACAGTATTATAAATTCACATTTTTTTGTTATTCTAAACAAATATCATGCATATCATAAGTGAACCTAAACTACAAAGGGAGAAATTGATGAGCAACTTGATTGTCATTTGATTGAACTTTTGGACTTAAGAAACATTAGAATACTACATGACTTCTGCATCTTCATATACTGCTAGTGAAGTTCATATTTGCTTGATTTACTTAAATAACCTTTCCACCGTTTATGTATATATCCTTGTTGGGAAACTACAAGCTGACTTTGCAATTTTCATACAGTAAAATATTGCTTACATTTTCTGGAAGTTCTTGATCAGGAGCAAGTCATGTCATGATGTCTAAACCATTGTTAGAAAGCTTTGAAAAAGTCATTTGATTCCTAGTTTATTCCTTCTGTCTTTTTTTGAAAAGAGAACCTTGGTTGGGAGGATATGATGCTGAAGGTCCTTGTCTTTTTTGTCCCTTCCTTTTGTTGATAACATACTGAATTGAGTTTCTTTGGAACAATTTGAAACAGATCCCTGGCCAACTTTACCGTCCATATGTGGAAGTATGTAGGAATGGTTGCAGACAAATCAAGAAAGGATATCAAAGAACTAACAGCCAATGTTATTACCTCTCCTTCATTAATAATGATGAGGATTCAAAGGAGACAAGTGATGTACCTCATGTTGTTGTACAAATGGATACAGAAAATCCAGTTATCTACCAGAAGACGTGTCTAGACTACTGCTTCGATAAACCTTTACAGGTAATTACCTGACAAAACATATGTGGCTTTGTAGATTGTTCTTCACTGTTTAATCCCTTCACATACTTTGAGCCATATTTATTCTGACAGGTCACTGGAGATGTGAGGGTAGTTTTTTACCAAAAAATGATTGGAGGGCGTCTCTTCTATGCCTGCTTCAATACAGCTTTTATCACAAATAGCGTACTACAGGTGCCACAGTTTTTAACCATGGAACCTTAGCTAGTCTCCCTTTTCAGTTGTGCAATAGAAGAAATTCATATTTAAAAGAGTAGTTAAGATATTCTCCAAGAGTACTGAGAAAATAATTCCTGCATGCCAATGATACATGTATGCTACCAGTTCATAGGATATGAACATTCAATATGTTTGCCTCCTGAAAAAAGTAAAAACGTTTGAGTATTGTAATGACTGTATTCTATCTTGGAACTATCAATCCATGTTGCTTGCTTTGCATTTGATGCATACATCTGCCAGTTAGTTTCATCTTTCTGCTCTTCCCACCGAATTGGCCTGTGAATCTATGCCTAGTATTCTGTTATTGGAAAAAAAATATCTACCAAATTTGACATCGGATTTCACATGAATACTTTTCTAGGGGTGAAAATTGGGCCAGGATAGGTTGGGTTGAGGTCAACCTTAGCCCAACCCTAAGTTCTGAACCCCCAACCCACCTAACCTTGGATTGGGTTGGACTTGGGTTAAACCCAACCCAACCTCCCCTCTCACCCTATTAAAATCTTATAGAATCTCTAAGATTCAGGCAACCAGCATGGTCAACAGGGTTTATCAATTTGGTTTTTGCATATATGTTCAATGGAACCTCTAACAAATGACAGAATTCAAAAGTGAGGAATATAGGGAGAACTTACTCTTCAGGGTGGGGCAGCAGGAACCTGGGCAGTTGGGTGGTAGCAAGAAAAGTAGAAAACATCTGTGGATTGCAAAGTGGCCAGCAAGTGGCAACCAGTAGGATGGGCAGTGGCAATTGGCAACACAAGAGATAGGATTTACGAGTAGAGCTAGCTGAAGAGGGACTCAAGTTGAACTGTGGATGGAAGAAAAGAATAATAAAATTTCAAAAAGAAAAGAGAGTTAAGGTTAGGGTTCATGAATTTACGATACTATGTATAGGGATTTTCATCTATAGTATATTATAGATATGAGATGTTAACATGTTTATATAATAGATGACTACTAGTTCTAGATGTAATAATAGGCTCAGGTTTGCGTTGCCCGAGGGGTCAACCCTAACCCAATCGTCAACCCGACCCAACCCAACCCAACTTTTTTCAGTTGGGTTTGGGTGCAGCCCTAGACACTTCTATATAATTCTCCATAGCATTTTCTTAATTGGTAACTCTCCAATCATACCATAGCACTCACCTTCAAAAATATATAAAATGGTATGTCTAAACAAATCATACCGTAAAATATATGCTAGAAACTTAGGCCCCATTCACTTACCAGTAAGTTTGGGGGGGGGGGGGGTTGGTGAAAAAGTTGGCCAACTTTCCCATGTTCTTTTATTGGTACATGTGGGACCCAGGTAAAAACAACTTTCCCCCGGGTAAGTTTTTTGGCAACTTACTGGGGAAAGTCTTACCCTTCTCCTAGGTGGGTAAGTTACTTTCCCACTTGGAGAGAAAATTGATAAAATTTAATGAGACAAAAATGCCCATTAAACAGGCACTAAATACAAAATAAGGTATAAGGATAAAAATGGAAACAGAAAAAACTTACCTGGGCACAAAAGAACACAGGTAAAATGCACGTATCTGGGTAAGTGATATACCTGAAAATGAATGGGACCTTAATTCAATTTGGCAAGACACAAGCTTCAGATATGACACTTCACTTCAATAACTACATATAAAAGCATGATATAAGCATATTGTATGGGATACCCTTATTCGTGTCTGTTTCTGGTATTTATGGAAATGAGGAGTCGTATCCCCATTTCCCGTTTCTGTGTCCATGTTGGTATCCATACTTAGGTATAATAGCTGTGAATTGAACATTCTGGAAAATGAGTCAATATTCCTGGTATACGGAATGTTTTTTTTTCTTTAGATTACTCTCTTTTCAACAATCCATATTCCACTGCATGTATGATTATCCTTTTCAAAAAGCATGGTATTGACAACACAAGATCTTTTCTAGAAACATAGTTTTCTTTATGTTTTTTTTTTCCTGAAATTGGCTTTGTGAATTCTTGCAGTTCTCCATACGGGATTTGGACAAAGTTGGGTACAAGGGTAAATCTGTATGTGGCTCTGCCTTCTGTGTTGAATTGCTGTTTGGCCCTGCTAATGCAAGATGTTCATTATCACCTCCAATGAATAATGATGATGATGATGTTAGCAAAGATTTCTTGTAAACTCCCCATGTAGGTTGTTTGAAGATATTTTAATGAATTTGAAAGTTTTACTGACCATTGTTTATAGTGTAAATTTCAAGAAGGTAGTTATCAATTTCTTAGGTATTACACTCCCAGCTAATCATGCTTTTTCCTCCCCTTAGTTTTGTTTTCATGGTGGAAGCAAAAGAAGTAATTCAAGGACAAGAATAGGCTTTGTATCTATAGATAATGGATTTGATATTACTTTGCAGGAAACAGAACCTTGGTTCATGCCATATAAATAGATGCTTGTTTTCTATTTTTCTCATTGATTGACCTGGGAGTGAATGCACGATATCAGCACCCTGCCTGGCATTCTTGTTTCTCAGAGTGCAATTATGGCTGCAGCCTTGCAACAGATTGGGTCATACCAACTAGGTACAAAGCCCGAGTACTGATAAATTTGGTTAGTGAATTCAATGTGCCTCAGGTTCGAATCACCATTTTTTCCTTTTGTTCCTTGATCCAAGTCATCAATGTGCCTTAAGTTCGAGTCACCATTTTTTCCGTTTTTTTTTATGCTTGATCAAGTTATCATACTCGCAACAGATGGAGATTTTCCATATTGCATTCAGACGTTTCTGTTCTGTGAAAAGAGATGCTGATTTTTTTGTTTTTTATTTTTAATTTTTGAAAAGCAAATGACATGCTGTTTGATGTCCTTTATAGAGGGCAATACGAGTATTATGGAAATTCTTTTCATATACAATTTTGAGCAGCTGTTAAATTTAATTGTCATTTACTTATTGATGAGCTAAGCCCAATTGAATATACACAGGAGCAGGTTTTAACTTGATTGAATGCTCTTTGCACTTTACAGTTCCTTGTAGATTTCAACATCTTAAAGTTTTTAAAAATAAAGAAAGAAATAAACAATAGAGCCTAAAATGCAATGAGCAAGTGGAACCAATGATAAGGTCCCATGCCAGTAATAAAATACATGGGGCCATGAATTTATTACTGGTGTAGAACCTCATCATTGGTTCCACAGCCCACTGAACAGCCGTTGCATTCAGTTCATCCGAATTCAAAAGCAATGATATATCAAATACAAGGCATACTGTATCGGTATCCAAAGGCATGAACGTGTGGCATAAGTGAAATTTTTTATGCTTAGGCTCAGTGTGAAATTTTTTATGCTTAGGCTCAGTTTGGAAGGAGTACAAATACAAATTTGTAAAGTGCAAAACGATATATTTTATATTATTTTGTATGAATCTGTACTGTACATATTTGTATTTGTACTCCTTAAGGCCTATAGTGGCGGCGGTCACAACCACCGCTACAATTGTTACTATTGGTATGGGTGGATAAATTGATGTTTGACATTCATTCAAACTTTTTGGCAGTTATTATAGCCTTACAAGTTGTCCAAAAAGTTTGTTCTGCGAACATGTCGCATATATCCAATTACACCATCGGTCCAATTTGTTGGATCTATGGATTTTTCAAAATTGGAAAAATCTCAGAAATATATATATGTTTTAAATAAATTCCATTGCATGAGAGAATTGTAATACAATTATCAATGCCCTATTAAATTCATTGATCTAATAATAATTTATGTCAAAGATGAATTTTTCTTCTTAATTTTTTAGGAAAATCTGAAAATTAGAAAATTAATTTATTTTATATATTATAAATGTTTTCAACTTTTCATGGTAAGGAAAAATTAAAGATGGATTTATAAATGATCTATCAACAATTTAATGTGTATTGTAGTGATCTAGGCTCCTAGTATTGTAGTATTGTTAATTGCAATGTATCTTTTCATGAGGATGGTGGGGTTCAATCCTCACAAATTTGTGCTCACACCGTTCTCACAGCCATTTTCAGTCATGCATTGGGAACATATCCATACTTGCATCTTTTTGTTTCATGTGGAGATGTTCCCAATGCACAACTGAAAAAGGCTCTGAGAAAGGGCTTTGAGAACTAGTGTTTTCAACTTGCCATTGACTCGATTGGTTGAACAATTCGAACCATCACCCAACTATGATTCTAGGTCCGGTTCCATTAAAATCCATCAACCAATCAAAAACCATCCAACCCCTATTGGTTCAATTGTCAACCCGATCATTGGGTCATGGGTTACACATTCAACACATGTAAACTTTAAAATGCCATAATTTTGCACTTCAATGTCCAATTGAGGTGATCTTTTTTTTTTTTTTTGGGTAACTTTTCGAGATCTATGCCTCTCTTCGTAGGGCAACTCAAGAGGTGCGCCCAATGCGTTCAAACAAATGAGAACTCAAAAAGCACCTTATTGAAATGAAATAACCGTTCACTTCRGCCAAGAAAAAGGGCCTCGTTCTATTCTAGTGATCTAGCTTTCAGGATACCCATTAATGACAGTTCCCCGAACGAAGGAGTCAGAGTACAACCTTCTCTTGCTCGATGAAATCACCGTTCACTGAGGCCAGAAAAAAAAGTGGCCTCTTGATATGAGGTGACARGGGACCTCCGACGTTAGCCTCGCTTGGTTTCTCATCCCAATGGTCGTAGGTGCATTGTCCCACTATTTTTGTCAAAACCCCCTTTTTGGCTTTAAATCACAATTTTTAATATTTTTATAAATAAAAATTAAAAACTGAATTAAAAACATAAATTAAATATAAAATAATACATATAACATATCTAAAACATAATTATACATTATTTATTGATAAATATGTATTTGTACACGTATATATACATGTACACACATGTATGTATGTATGTATGTATGTATGTATATTATATATATAGGTCGAACTGGTGGCCCATGACCCGGAGATAAAAATGGTTCAGCCTCCAGATCAGTTTTTAAAACATTGATGAGAATGGTGTGAGCACCAAATCCTAATTATCTTTTCATATAAATTATTAGGTGTGCATTTCTCTCATATGTTTTATACATTATTTATAGTTATTTTAACTTTAGATTTATTGTAGTTTATATTTGTGGAATTTGTAAGAGCTTCCTCAAGGTATCTAAGCATATATTAAGCAGTTGAAATTCTCAAACTACTTCCTTTTGGATGCAGCACAATCGATTCAGATTTTATATATGGACCCTTAATCACCCTCCCTCTTTCAAACAACATCACATTCATCTCTTCTTAGAATTAAATTTTTTTTCACCACCGATGCCTCAATAAAAAATAGGTACCTTCATTTTGATCAAGCTAACCACCTGTTACACGGATTTGGAATTTGATTCTATAATGCTTTTATTTGGATGAGCTATCAAATGTTAGCACTACAATGAAATTTGGACTGAGTGCTTGCTCATCATCTATTAGATCTTAAGGCTGTGTTTGGTTGCAATGCAAATAAATTTGCACTGATGCAAAACTACGACAGTGCAGATGGTTTGATTGTAAATTCTGACTTATTTTTGTTTCAAATTTTGGCTTATTTTGTTTGATTGCAGTAAAAATGAAGTAAACTAAGATATGAAGTAGAATAATGCGAAATAAAAAACAAAATTAACTGGGAATTTGCATTTTCTTCATTTGCACTCATATACATTTGTGCTAGTGCAAATAAATTTGCATTGCAACCAAACACAACCTAAAGGGCAGCCCAGTGCATAAGACTCCTGCGAATGCGGGATCTAGGGAGGGACAACTGTACGCAGCCTTACCCCTACACATATAGAGACATTGTTTCCAAGTTCATCATCTACTAGATATTCCAAGGCAAAAAAGATCAAAACCGTTTTGATAATTAACCATAAAAAGGGTACAAGTGACTTGTCAAAATTCTTGCTTATCCCTCGTTAAATTAGTGTATATAAATGAACTCATTACAAAAAGGAACCTTCATTGATCAAAACTCTAAGGCCCCATTTGCTTTTTAATAAGTTATTTATCCGAATAAATGCAATTACCTGGATAAGTTTTTCCTAGGAAACACTTACCTAGGTAAGTATATTTACCCATGTTCTTTTTTTTTCCAAGTAAAAAAGGAAATTATCATTTTAACCATAAAAATTCATTATTAAAAGGGGCATTTTTGTCCTGTTCAAGTGTTGGAAACTTTCCCCCCAAGTGGAAAAATTATTGATACCCAGGAAAATAAACTTTCCCTGGTCAACATGGGATTCTTGGCCAATGGGAACCAAAATCCCATTGACCAACTTTCCCCCCTCTCAAAATCCAAAAAGGAACGCCCCCTAAAGGTTTTCTATAAATAAAGGCAATCAATGGTCGGCTCTACCTGATAGAACTGAACTGACTAAACGATTATGTCAATTCTGATTTTATGGTTTTTTTAATGGGAGTTCTGATTTTATGATTTTGTCTTGATTAATAATTGGGTTAGGATTGGTTATTCTTGTTGTAAACCGATTCAGACCAGAATTAATTATATAGTTAATAATACGTAAAGATCTCTTTTTTTTGTAATTTTTCATAAACAGTACATAAGGTAATTATAATTAAAATACATATTTTATCAGCATATAAATAGAATAATAGTTTCAGTTTTATTAAAATTATTTGTTTTTAAGAAACCATCATCGATCCAAACATCACTCTGATTGTCCAGATTATTCACAGCCCTATAGACACAATACAGTATATGAAATTCCTAGCTGACCTGACCACTCAAGAAGTCAAGATACACCCCCAACCTACAGGCTTGCAGTTGGGCTGCAGGTTTGAAATTGCAAAAGGTATGGGCCTAGTCCAACCTTCTATGATCATAAGGTTGGCCTAGAACTTAAATTAGGGTCCTGTCCTGTCCAAGTCCGACCTTTAGGAAAAGAACAAACACCATCAAAAGAAAAAGAGAATTATAGAAAAGTCTATGTTTGGGTTGGGCCTTCAATTTGGAACTATTCTTAGCTTAACGAGTGAGAATTTCTGCAGAGAAGTAAAGCTTGTGCTTACTGCTTAGTTAAGCAGCTAATGGTAATTAATGGGATAGGGGACTAGGGGAGAAATAGGAAATCATGCCAAACCCTAAACCTAAAAAACTGGTAATTAACCCTTATTATTTGATCATCATCAGTCAAATTTTATAAAGGAGTCCAGGAGAGAGAGAGGGAGATGGTTTGGAACGGTTGAATATTAAACTAGGCATTCAACCTCTGATCGTGCACAGCAAAACCAAACCGGATTAATCCATTTGGAATCTTTCACAGGGTACTTGGATCATATACAAGAATTACAAATTGTGCCCGTTGGATCTAACACGAAGAATAAGAAAATAATACGCAGGCTAGCACCTACCCTACCGACTCGTATTCAATCCTATTTTAACTCTAACTCGTTTATCCAACTCTGAGTCTGAGAAGGGGAGACTGGAGGTGGAGAGCCCTTGTATAACTTTCCCACGGTACCAAGTACGAAAGAACGCTACATGAAAATTGGGAAGTTGAGCATTCTGGCAATTCCCCAATTATCCGAGATTTACAAAGCGCAGGTTTTTATTTCCGGATTGTGAAAACCCCTCCTTTCCCTCCATTAGTTTCTTCATTGAGCCCTAACTTTATCAATATCAGAATGCAACCCAGATGCTTTAGACCCATTTTTTCAACTATCCAATTCATCCCACCACTAGAAACCTGTAATCTTTAATACCCAGAAGTATATTTTGCCTTTTCTTTTTTTTTTTCTTGTGAAATTATCGTTATTATTATTTAGTTCGATCATCCATTTGTTTGTGTGCTATGGCGACCCAGAAGCCTCAGAGGTCCCTAGCAGAAGTAGAAGACATTATTCTTCGAAAAATATTCTTAGTCTCCCTCATTGACTCTATGGAGAATGATTCCCGTATCGTCTACTTGGAGATGACTGCTGCTGAAATTCTCAGCGAGGGAAAGGAACTGCTGCTTTCGCGGGATTTGTTGGAGCGGATTCTCATCGATCGCCTCTCGGGTCAGTTCCCCGGCGCGGAACCACCTTTTCCTTACTTGCTTGGATGCTACCGTCGTGCTTGTGAAGAGGGGAAGAAGATCACCTCCATCAAGGACAAGACCCGTCAGTCGGAGATGGCATCCGTTGTTTCACAGGCTAAGAAATTGGCTGTCTCCTATTGTCGGATCCACTTGGGCAATCCCAATATGTTTCCAGACAACGAAAACATAAATTCGGCAAATAAGACTACAGTTTCACCTCTACTTCCGTTGATTTTCTCTGAAGTTTCGGTCAGTGGATTAGGAGGAAGTAGTGTTGGCGGTGGACCAGGGTGTCCCCCAGGTTTCTTAGAGGAATTTTTCCAGGATTCCGATTTGGATAGTTTGGATCCAATTTTGAAGGGATTGTTCGAAGATTTGAGGGGGAGCGTGCTTAAGGTGTCCGCGCTCGGAAACTTTCAGGAACCACTGAGAGGGTTGTTGCTGTTGGTGACTAAATTTCCTAATGCTGCGAAGGCTCTGGTAAATCATCCTTGGTGGATCCCAAGAGGGACTTACGTGAACGGTCGTGTTATTGAAATGACCAGCATTTTGGGTCCCTTCTTTCATGTCAGTGCTCTTCCTGACCATACTATTTTCAAAAGTGAACCTGATGTGGGGTGAGTTTTCTTTATGTAGTTTTGGAACACTTCCTATTATCATTGTTTCTTGTTTTCCATTTTTGATAAGCAATGAGAGAGCATATAAAAATGTAAAATTGAATCATTAGAATGTGAAAAATACATTTAGAGTGCAATATATATGTCAGATAAGTTGGTACTTACATGCAAATTTGAATGATTCATTTATGACTTTAGAACTCGAGGAATTACTGAAAAAAGGTCATTACCCAATGTTGGTCCTAGCTATCTGGGGTCTTGGGATGGATGAACTGAATGCAGACCTAACCTTTGCAATTGTTTTTTGCACAAAGTGGACATTATATATTGGTACACTATTAAAAAATACTAGCCAGACCATGGAGACACTCCAGTTTTGTGGCTTTGATCCTACGTCTGCTCTGTAGGAAATTGTTGAAGTACTAAGATTACCATTTTTCAGTATCGACCATTTTACCATCTTTATTGTATTGTAGATTCTCATACCACCTATCCTTTTTGCTGGTTTCACCTAACTGGTAAGATCACTTGTAATGCTCTTCTTCTTTCTTTTCTGCCATTTACACCAGAACACTGCACAAAAGCCTTAATTCGTTACCCATCTTAGATGGAAGTACTCAAGATATTCCAAAATGCTCTGTGAGACCATTTGGACCACCTTTAAGATGTCTGGAGAAAAGGAGGTGGAGGGATCTCTTTTATTCCTCTAGCAGACCATATAGCATGTGTGCCTATGTGGAAATGTTATATTATAGGTTGGAGACTATTGAATTTTAAGATTTCATATTTTCTCTAATGTTATTGCTTAAGAAGTGAATGCCACCAGATAGGGGAATAGCATTTTTGCAAAAGAATGCTAATAAAGAAGTCAATCACTTCTTGAGAGCAGCCAACGAAGATCTGTAATAAATATTAATGGATTAAACTTCATAATTCTATGGATAGACTATTGCTGAGGAAGATATTATTATAGAGGCCTACTAGGTATTATGGTATTATACTGTAGAATGCAGAGTTCTGTGGCCTATGAATTTGTTAAGCTTGTAAGATAGAATTTTTTTAATCAATTTGAATTTGGATTGCTTCTTATTGGAAAGCTCTTTGACAGAAACGGTGTGTGAAGATGAAGATTCTATATGATTAGTATGAGATCTTTAACAATCTTTTCTTTTTTATTTGCATTCTAATCCATGCTTGTCCAGTGTAAAATTTTCTGGTGATGAAGTCGATGGCCTCTAATTCTCTAGGCAACTTCTTGATGACCCAGCCATCATCTGGCTCCTCTTTTCCCCCTTTCCTTTTTAATGATATCATTTCTGTAAATAAACCTGGTTTAGTGTTTCCATGGAGGTACTCTGGTGCTTTCTTGTGTTATTATGCTCTTTAATTGGACAGGGAAATGGGGATCCCACACACATCCGACTTTTATATTTGTGGTATATATATGAGCTTGGGTAATTGTTCTTTTTGGTTATATATTTATATCCTGATGAGTTCAATGTTTAAAAAGGCGTGCCTAGGCCTGTGCGCAAGGCACATTTTAAGGCATGCACCTTGCTTGAACCCAAGTAATGCACATGCACCTTGGTTTCCTTGTGCCTCAGCCCAAGCACATTCGTTTTCTAAATTTTCTTTTTTTGGCCATTTTTTTTGTACTCTCATATGTTTTACACTTCTGTAGTGGTATATATGTTAACTTCTAATTTACTTTTTCTTGTTACTTGTGGAGTAGTAATGTTCTATTAACTTTTAAAAGAAACAAAGACAAGGATATTTAAATACCTGAATCCCTAGTTGTTGTGGATATGATCTCAGATAACAAAGTTTCCACTAGAGAAGCAACAAGCAACAATATACTTGATTTCTGATCTCTAATTGAATGAACTGCAGAAAAAAATCACAAAACCAATCCCCTCATGTATATGGGTCAAAAATCAGGTTGGAGGCACTACTCCCAAACCCCTACATTAGGCATTAGGTAGACAAAATCACATGCTTGAATTATTGTGTGTTCAAAGCATTTTGGTGTGATCTACATTTGTTTGCTTTCATTTTCACTTTGAATTTGTTTTATTTGTTATGCTTATGTATTTTGATTTGATCTAGTAAGCCTTTTAAAACATTTAATTTCTTTTAAAGTTTAGGTTTTGAATATATATATATATATATTAATGTTTTATTTATTTATTTTATTTTATTTTTGAAAATTTCCAAAAATTGTGCCTTACTTTTACCTAGTGCCTTGGGCACTAAAAGGCCCTTGTTCTTTTCTTTTGCCTCTTGCTTTTAGAACACTGGTTGCAGATTTTGTCGAACTTACAATGTCCAATGCTGATATATATAATTGACCAATGCTTGTATATTGCACTTTGTCATTGCTTAGTAATACAATACTTGTATTTGGTTTACCAGCCAGCAGTGCTTCTCAGAAGCATCAACACGTCGTCCAGCTGATATATTGTCTTCTTTTGCAACTATCAAGACTGTTATGAATAACTTATATGATGACCTCGAAAAAGTTATTCGTGCTCTCCTTCAAAAGGCTGATACACGAGAGAGCACTATTGAGTATCTTGCAGAGGTGATCAATAAAAACTCATCAAGGGCTCACATACAGGTGATTTCCTCTAAGCAAATTATTGTCCTTTTAGTTTAAAGGGAAGAAAGTCCATCTTCAATTTAGATGCTTGAAATATACCATACCTCAAAATCTTGAATTTATATTTGTTTTCATTAGTGTGATAAATGTAAGTATCTCACTTCTAGACTCTCTAGGCATGATAGCAATGCCCTGATTGATCCTACCTACAAGATCTCCCATGAAAAAAAATTAAACCATTATATCAGGTTAATTCTTGTTTTACAATTTGATCCCAGGTCGATCCATTATCCTGTGCAAGTTCAGGCATGTTCATCAATCTCAGTGTTGTCATGCTTAAGCTCTGTGAACCTTTCTTAGATCTAAATTTGACAAAGAGGGACAGAATTGATCCAAAGTATGTATTTCACAGTACGCGTTTGGATTTAAGGTGAGAACCTTTTCTAGGGAAGTTATTTTCTGTACTTTCTTCCTTGATATGTATATTGTTCCTAATTTGTGGTGATGGACCTATATTAGAGGACTGACAGCCCTCCATGCATCATCGGAGGAAGTTGTAGCATGGATTGATAAAGATAATCCTTCCAAACAAATGAGTGATGAAGAGAAACGCATATTACAATCTCAAGAAGCAACTAGCTCGGGAAGTTATTCCAGTGGACTATCTCTCCTCTCTAATGCTAAGCCAATGTCAAGTTGTGGTGTGAAAATAAAATATAATTTCATTTGCGAATGCTTCTTTATGACTGCAAGGGTGCTCAACCTGGGGTTGGTAAAGGCATTTTCTGACTATAAGCATCTAATCCAGGTAACATGCTCCAGAACATATTTATGAATTTTCTGTTTCTACTAGTGGATCTTTTGCCCCATTCTAATCCATAAACTGGACCTTTTTTTTCTTTTTACTAGAATCTCAATTCTGAATTTTGAATGAAATAAATTTCAGGATTTATCAAGGTGTGAAAACACTCTGTCTAGTTTAAAAGCCATGCAAGAGCAAGCGCCCTCACCACAACTTGAGCTAGATATAGCTCGCCTTGAAAAAGAAATTGAGACATATTCACAAGAGAAGCTATGTTATGATGCTCAGATAATGAAGGTATGCTCAATTTCAAGGGATCATTTGTCCTTTTTAGATTGGTAGTTGCTTTCTAGGAAGTAGGTCTCTTCATCCTTTTCATTTTAATCTATTCTGATTTCCTATGGTTCTAATTACTAAAGTAGAAATTTTGCATTTTTTTCATATCTTTATTCCCCTTAGAAATATGATTTGCTTATTAGAAGTTCCAATTATGGACTTGGGTTCCATTACTAGTACAAATTGGTAACTACAGAACCGGAGTTTTCCTCCAATTGAATATGATGTTGGGATATCTACTTTATTTAGATAGTGAGCCATGTCTAGATCATCATTAAATCCATCCCTAGCTTGCTTGCTTGGGAAAAACAGAGGGAGTTGGGTGGATTGAAGAATCTTACCATGAAAGGAAGGTTTACAAACAAAAAAGAAGACTAAACAATGAAGAATGGTTAATATTGATAAAAAAACACTGAAGGCTGGTTAAAAAAGACCATGCTTACAAAGGGAATGCAGCATAGAGGGAATTGTTTTTGGACTTAGCTGTAACTGTAAGAATATGGTTATGCTATTGTCCTATGAGTTTGGGGAGGCTTTGTATATTGTAAATTTTCTTCCTAAATTAATGAAAGAATTTTTCTGTTGCTGATAAAAAAATGATTGTAAATAACATAACCAAACCACTATGCCATATTCAATTGTTGATTATAATTGTATGTATTTTTATTCTTAAGCAAACATTTTTCTTCTTAATGGATTTTCATTAATTAATGTTAAAACTGATTATTAAAATTTATATACTAATAAATATTAATAGAAATTATATTGATTTTATGAAAATTAATACACATTTTACTTCTTCCAGTATCTTCAACAGTTACCAATTTGTCCCTATATCTCACATTTTATATAAACTATTGAGGTATGTGTTTGTATGTTTAAATAACTTGTTTTCTTTATAAGTGTTTGTTGAAATAGCTTATTTAAGGCCATACTTATTGTTATTAACGTATTTCTTTTAAGGTTTATATAAGTTTTCTAATGTATCCATGTGTATCTTGATTTTCGTATGTATCCATGCATATCCCGAAACGTCTCTTAAAATTGTCATTCTGATACACCTTATGTTTCCGATACTTTGAACCTTGATTGAGCCATGGAAGGCTTCTTCAGTGCTAATATAATCTAGATATCCTGATTGCTGATCAAAAAAAAGAAAAAAAAAAACAAATCTAGATATCCTGACAAATATAATGTAAAACTTGTATGTATTATTCTTTATAGCAGAATTTGGCACTCTGCTTGACATTTTTTATGTAACTTTCTTCTTAATGAAGGACCAAGAACTTCTTCGGCATGCCCTATCCTTCTACAGGTTAATGGTAGTTTGGTTGGTTGGCCTTGTTGGTGGATTTAAAATGCCACTGCCATCAAGTTGCCCAATGGAATTTGCATGTATGCCGGAACACTTTGTTGAAGATGCCATGGAATTGCTTATATTAGCCTCTCAGATTCGTGATAGAGAAAACCCTCTTAGGGTGTTCCCATTGGTAGGTTCAACTATTGAACTTGTAGCCCTAATATGCACATCCCTTTGTTTCCCTTTTCTTTCTGGGTCAGTTAAATTTCCTTGAAATCCTTTTTTTAATGTATTCAGATATTAATTTCTTCTCTCTTATGCCAGGATGACTTTATGAACTTTGTTATCATGTTCATGGCAAGCCCAAATTATATCAGAAATCCATATCTAAGATCGAAGATGGTAGAGGTGTTGAACTGTTGGATTCCACATAGAAGGTTATCATATGCCTCCATTTTATTTTCAAGTCAAATATCTAGTTTCTTCACTAAACTTGAACATATGCTACTTGTTTATTGAATGTACAGTGGTTTACCCGAGACAGCTGCCCTTTTTGAAGGACATCAACTATCACTTCAGTATCTTGTCCGGAATCTTCTGAAGCTTTATGTTGACATTGAGTTCACAGGATCTCATACACAGGTGATTGCTAATACTGGACACATACACAGATATATACACACACACACACGTATATATTTTTAATTTCAGCTTTCAAGCTAATATATACACACATATAACAGGTGCAATGGATTTCCAGTATTGTTCTGTACAATAACTAGTCTTTATCTTTATGCTGATAAGCCAGAAAAAAAAAAGAAATGTAGGAATTCGGGAACTAAGAAATTATATGATTAAAATTTGAGACAGTTCTACAGTAGAAGTTAATTTTCATTATCAAGCACCATTACTAGTATCAGCCTCATCAGTCATCTAGTGTTGAGATGGGTAGGTTATGCATATGGAATATTTTAGTTTTTGTGTTACTATACTTTTATAATGTAATAATGGATATGGCATTAAACAGGTTGGGATGGCAAAAAGGATTCATATAATAATGGATATGCATACGGATTTTTTTTTTCTTTCATGTTTTTATTTTCTTTTTCTTTCATGTTTTTATTTTCTTTTTCTTTTTGGTGGTTTCCTGTTCTGTCCAATCCCTTTTAACCCACGGTAATAAGGAAATCCTTTTCCCAATGGAACTCTGTTTCCTTTGAAATGCTTCCATTTCCCAGAATCGTACATTGGGAAAATATATAAGGGCATAGATAGAAAATGTTGTAAACATTTGGAAATACTCGATAAAAATCTTAAAGAAATGCTTGGGACATTGCAGGCAATTGTATTTGTAATGTTCCATTCTTGTTGATGATTATGCAGTAGTCCAATCCCTGAAGTTGTCAAGTATTGCAAACCATCAATTATATTCTTTTTCTTTTGTTGTTATTTCCCTATTTGCAGTTCTATGACAAGTTCAACATCCGCCATAATATTGCTGAACTTCTTGAATACCTCTGGGAGGTTCCTAGCCATCGTAATGCTTGGAGGCAGGTAAATAGTCTGTTGTGGGACTTGGTCCTGTATCATGATCTCCAATATTTTGGTCCTTGTTGGGTAATTTGATTATATATATGTGCATTACCAGATTGCAAGGAAAGAAGAGAAAGGGGTTTATTTGAACTTTTTGAACTTCCTGATCAATGATAGCATCTATCTGCTTGATGAAAGTCTTAACAAAATTCTTGAACTCAAAGAATTGGAAGCTGAGATGTCCAATACTGTAGAATGGGAGCGAAGGCCAGCTCAAGAGAGGCAGGAGAGAACCCGATTATTTCACTCCCAAGAGAATGTGAGTTGATTATCTTAACAATTTTCTTCTGCAGTGATGGTTTTAAGGTCTAACCTAAAATCAGATATATCTAATTGGATACACCCCATTGCATGTTTCTAGATTATTCGAATTGATATGAAATTGGCAAATGAAGACGTGGGTATGCTGGCGTTTACTTCAGAAGAGATTTCAGCTCCTTTCCTTCTTCCAGAGATGGTAATTCTCCTGTCTTACTTGCTCATCATAAAAATCTCCTCTGTTTTCCTTGCTCATGCTTGTTTGTCCTCTTCTAACTGTATGTCTTTAGATTTTCCTGCATCATAACTATTTGCTTTTAGATTCAAGCAACTATTGCATATTTTTTTTGTTCTTTACAGGTTGAAAGAGTGGCCAGTATGCTGAATTACTTCCTGTTACAACTTGTGGGCCCTCAACGGAGAGCTCTTCGTCTGACGGATCCTGAAAAGTATGAGTTCCGGCCAAAAAAGCTGCTTAAACAGGTTAGGGATCATATCATGGTAATTTTTAGGGTTTCACAATTTTCTGAACTTACTAGCTAGAATATCTTGCATGTAAGAGCACAGATCTACCAAGTACCAAGTGTATGAGAACATGCTATAGTTGGCATTTATTGTATGCATGGTGCTCCTAGATGGGTCTAGGCTAGGTGTGCAACTTGGGCAGGTTGGATTGATTTTAAAGCTGGAATGGGATTCTGAATGGCCCATTCTGATTCTAACTGTTTGGTTGGAATGGGATTCTGATTTCCATTCTTGGTGGAATGGGATTCCCATTCCAGAGTCTATCAAGCAGTAAAGAACTCTTGACAAAAAACCCCCAAACCGTAATATTAATAAAATATTAGTAAAATAATAAAAAAACAAATATATTAATTAGTAAATAACATTAATTATATTAAAATAACAACACAAAATAATAGAATATTAAGAAACTAGTAATAAAATATTAGTAAAGAAATAAGAAAAAAAATAACATATTAATAAAATATTGATAAATTAATAATAAATACTAAGACATTGATTACTAAATACTTATAAAACAATAATAAAGTACAACAACAATAATGATTGGAATCCAACTCCGATTCCCATCTGGACTAAACAGGCATTGGGAATAGGCAATTCTGATTCTGGTTCCAAGGGATTCCAATTCCGATCCTGATTGCAAACCAAATGGACCCTTAAAGTTGAATTGACCCGACCTGGGTCCAAGCTGCACTTAGGGCCCATTTGGGAGGGCTTCATTGTTGATTGAGGTGCAACCAGAAAGTTGATTTCTCAGTTCATGTAAGCCTATAAGGCTTTCCGGGTTTTTCACCAAACATGACTACATGGCTCTCTGTGTTGGGCCTACCTTGCAATGCCAGAAGCCCCTGCATGAAACACCTCCGAAACAGGCACTTAGATTAGGGTTGGGTTTTTTAAGCCTGAATCTGACCAGAGGCTTTAGAGCCAGCCCAACCTGACCTAAAGATCAGGCTAGGAAAGGCCTGGTTCATAGCAAGATGAATCCGCCCCCTGGGTCTCCTAACTCCTTTGGTGGATACCATTATCCTATGTATGTGGTTGTCCATGTGTCAGGGCTCCCTGACCTGGTAAGTTGGGATGGGAAACCACAGCTTTTGCCTGGAGGAGCCAGAAGAATGTTGTTTGCTTTCCACATGATATTATGGTTTCCAAATCAAATGGCTTCTACTGTCATATATTAAATAGTCTTGACTATGGAATATTTCATTTGTCATTTATGATAGTTCAATTGTGGATTTCCTTGAATAGAAAAGCATTCTAACTGATGTAATGATTCTCTGGAAGATTGTTGACATATACGTTCATCTGGCAAGGGGAGATAAAGAAAATATTTTTCCATCTGCCATCTCAAGGGATGGTCGCTCATACAATGAGCAGGTAACTTGGGCAAAATTCCTTATTTTCTTTTCTTGTCTTATGTTTTAATCTTTACTAATGCCAACTTCTTGGGTCTGGGAAGTAAGTCTTTGGCCCATTTAACTTGCCATGTTCCATATGGTTAGGACCCAACAGGTCTTACAATGAAGATTAAGCAACCAAAACGCAGCTTAGAAAATTTGTTTTTTGGCTGTAAGAATGTGGACATCTAAGTCCTTAAAAATCCTTGAAATCTGCGGGAACTATGTACCAGATGGTTAAAAAGTAATTTGCTCATGCTTCTGGTGCAAACTGCAAACCCTCTCTAGGTGGACCCATCCTATGGTGGGTTTTGACATTCAGAATATCCAATTAGTGGGAGGTTATGGGGGCCTCAATACCTGAACTACAGGTCCTGTTACCTGTGGCACCAGAGCCAAGAAAATCCTTTGAAGAATTATTTACTCGAGGTGTCTGACAGTTTGGAAATTTCTCTAGTTGTTTACTGCTGCAGCTGATGTTCTAAGAAGGATAGGCGAGGATGGAACAGTCGTACAAGAATTTGTTGAGTTGGGTGCAAAGGCTAAAGCTGCAGCTTCTGAGGCAATGGACACAGAAGCAGCCCTTGGAGATATACCGGACGAGTTCCTTGACCCAATTCAAGTAAGTTTTTACTCCATTATGTAGGTCAACTCATGATCAACCTTGAACTTTGGATAAGTGTATATAATAAAATGCCCATATCTTCTCATTATCTTGCAGTACACATTAATGAAGGATCCTGTGATCCTCCCTTCCTCAAGAATCACAGTAGATCGACCAGTCATCCAGAGGCACCTTCTGAGTGATAATGTAATCCTCTTTGCTCGTCTTCCTGCTGTTTTACCATTTAAGTTTCTCCTTTTACCATGCTGATTTGCTTTGCATGTATGGCAGACTGATCCATTTAATCGTTCCCATCTTACACAAGACATGCTCATTCCAAACACTGAACTCAAGGCAAGAATTGAAGAGTTCATCAGATCCCAAGAACTGAAGAAGCATGGGGAAGGTCTAAGGCAGCAATGCAAACTGTCAATAGCGAAATGACCTTAATCGAGTAGGATTTTGATCCTAATGCTTGCAACAGCAGTGTCCGTAAGGGTCTGAAAGTAGCAATAGTTACAGGAAAGCTATGCACATTGTATAATGGATGATGTCTTGCGGTTTGAGTTAATTTATATAATTGATATGCCATCTAATCGGTAGAATGACCTCATAAGTCATAACCAGAAGAACTCATAGTTAGTGCCTCGTTAGGAGAACCAAATTTATAACGATATCATTTGAAATATATTTATTGCGTTTAGCATTTGAAACGAGATCATTTTGATAATCAAAGCTGCCTGGTGAAGGCACTGCTGACCAAGGTTAAAAGTATCAACATGTATAGGCCATACGTATTATTCCGGGACCCCTCCGATATGCCCCTCAGTGAGTGTATCGGAGGTCTGATCAGTTCAAGGGGTAGAGGAGACCTAAACCGGCCCCCCTGAACTGGTTGTGAAAAAAAAAAACAGTTCCAAAATGTGTATCGATTTGCCCGATACGCCCCTATTGGTGTATTGGGTGTATTGTTATTTTGAATCTTGCAGCTGATGCGGGGTCTGAGGAGGGAGGTAGGGGTGTCAATTGGACTGAATTTGGTCCAATCCAATAAATATTTTGGGCCGGTCCAATTCAATGTGTGCACTGTCTTCATAATTGTTTTAATTTTGAATTTTAGATTGATTTTAACCCAAACCTGATCCATTGACACCTATATTCTTATCTTTTATCAATGGACCAGATGTTGTCTCAATTCAATCCAATCCAATATAAAATTCATTATGGATGGACCAAGTTCAATCCAATCCAATAAATATTTTGGACCATTAAGTATGAATTGATCCAATTCAATGTCTTGTTGGTTCATCCAATCCAACGGGTCTAATCCAAAATCAATCCATTGGCCCCCCTAGAGAGGGATACCCTCCGCCCCACCACCCCCTCCTAATTCTCTTTGAGTGGCCGTATCACAAGATTTAAAAGCTGGTACGTATTGTACTGTACGATAAGCATCGGTACGTTGCGATATTAAACCCTGGTTACCTTGGTTAGAAATATCAATGAACCCTGATCAAGATCATCAGAAAAAGCTTTGTGAAGAAGAGTCCCCTCCGTGGAATAAAGATGGGCAAAAGCCTTACACCTATTTTAGTAGAATTTTGTAGAAATACAATCACGTATAGAGATTATGTTTAGGGAGATCTGCCCTAACCTTACAGGAAGATCAAACTAACTTTTTTTTTACTTGTGAAAAAAAAGAACAAGTATCAATCCCAAGATCCAAGCAACATATATCCTTCCTTCAAATACACCACAATTACAAACAACTACTACTACTACTACTAATAATACTAATAAACCCCTTTTCTGACACAGTAACCCAAACTCATCTTAGATAGAAGGTAGCACTAGGAAATATTAAGTCATCATCATACAGACTAGTGAAACTGCATAAAAAGATAAAACAAAGACACCCAACTGAAGAATTCAGTGCTTCTTCAAGAACCCTTGAGCCATCTTAATGTACTCTCCGTAGCCGCTCTCAGAATGAGAATCACCCCCTGAATGCGAATGTGTGGAGGAATGAGTAGTAGTGGTCGAATGGGTGGAGTTGGGGGCGCTGGTGGAGTGTGACGAGTGGTACTGATGAAGATAATTCTCGGCCTTATCCACATACTTCCCCATCCCCTTCTCTTCCAGTTTGCCATAATGGGACGCGGCACCAAGCAGATCGGCGGCAGCACCGGCAACCTTGCCTTTGTCTACCTTGTCTGTTTCATGGTGGACGGTGGCTTTAGCTGCCTCAGCCACCACCTTAGCACTAGAGAGGATCTCAGCTTTGGAAGGTTGGTGTTTTTGGTTGTGGTGGGGAGTTGAATCCATGGAATTCGGGTTGGGGAAAAAGAGGTGGGGAGAACTGACCACTGAAACAGGATGGTTTGAAGAATTTGAAGAGATTTTGAGGTACCCCTTCAGGTTACTGAAAAACGACTATGATCTGATGAAACTAGTAAATTGAAGAGATGTGCTACCGGAGACAGGGATTACACCAAAGAAAAGGAGAAAGAATTGAAGCTCTCTAGACGAATTGAAAATTGATTCAAGATTGATGAACTGATGAAATGAGGAGAAGGGAAAGGGAAGTCTACCAGAAGACTTTATCTTCTCTCTGTATGGACAGGTTCAGATTTTTATAATGCAAAGCCATCGTTCATTAATTTTCATAGATCAATCGATGCTATTGGCCTGTAATCTGACATCACCCAAACCGTTTACTCCTTCAAAGAGAAGGAAAAATCGCTGTGATTGGATTGAATTGGACCCACATCCTGTTGTGGTTTTCCTTCTGCCGACTCGGCCTAGATATTTAATTCATTTACTTACTCTCACAGGATCCTTCATGTCAGTTGACTTTCCTTCAAACCGCATTACCGACGCTCGTATACAATAACGAATTTGCCCCTGAGAGTTGGAGAATCCAGATCTCCATATTTAATCGCTCAAATTTGCTAGACTTGAAATTAAAGACCAGGAATATAATCTTGATTAAAGTCGTCCACAGAAAGGAAAACAATTAACAATGAATGGTTTGATCCCATTTCCAACTCATTGCTCACCATGTATCTTATGTTGAAGCAGTAAACTTGTCTGCACTCTGCAAAATTTAAGAGCTAGCAAAGTTCCATAAATATTGAACATTTCACCAATAATCCTTGCAAGAACAAAGACCCCCAGCAAAATGGTGGAATAGGTTCCTATCTCTAACAACAATGTTCCTTTTGTAGATCTTTGAGACTATCTTACAAAAGCCATGGCAGTCCTTACAAATCCTCAAATTCTTCACTATCCTTATGGTAGAATCCGAAGAAGTTTTTAGAAGCCCAAAGGCTAAGGCAAGCTTCTCACTGTGATACATCAAGGAATTTTCCTTCTCCTCTTCCTCGATATCATAAGAAACCATCTCAGTTTCTGCAACATAACCAGCCAATTTCATTTCATTTTTCATATCAGCCAACATATTATAAACCTCCCCCAATTCGACGTCTAAGCTATTTGAGACCACAAACTCATACACTGCATCATCAACTTCAATAGAACTGCACCCAGGTATCTTTCGAATTCCCTTACGATTCATCATATCTCTCACTTCACCAACCTTAGTCCATCTATGACCTCGAGCATATAGATTTGATAGCAAAACATAGTTTTCCCCATTGTTTGGCTCTAGACCAAGAAGGTTTCTAATTGCTACCTCACCCAACTGGGTGCTTCCATGGATTCTGCATGCACCTAGAAGTGCCCTCCAAACAACAGGGTCTGGTTTATAGGGCATTGTTCGGATAAGCTCCTGAGCTTCATTCAAGAAGCCAGCTCGACCGAGAAGGTCAACCATACATCCATAATGCTCAATCCCTGGTCTTAACCCATATTCTTTCTCCATGCTGACAAAATACCTCCTACCTTCCTTTATAAGACCTTGGCGACAACAGGCACATAAGACAGCTAACAAAGTAACTCCATCTGGCTTAAAATTCTCCATGACCATCCTGGAGAATGCCTGCAGAGCAGCTTCACCTTGACCATTCATGGTAAACCCAGAGATCAAAACGTTCCATGTGTAGACGTTCTTTACTCTCATTGCTCCGAAAACCTTTTCAGCTTCATCAACAACACCACATTTAGCATACATGTCAATAAGAGCAGTGCCTACAAACACATTTAACCTCAGCCTCTTCTGAACTATATAATCATGAATCCATTTCCCCTGATTTAGAGCCCCCAAATGGCCGCATGCGGAAAGCACTCCAACCATGGTTACCTCGCCAGGTTCAAACCCAGATATCTGCATCTCCCGAAACGTACTTATTGCTTCCCTAAATTTCCTGTTATGGGTATAACCGGTTATTAACGCATTCCATGAAACAGAATTCTTTACGGGCATTTCATCAAACAATCGTCGAGCTTCTCCAATAGACGTGCAGGTTGCATACATATGCACGAGGGCGGTATTTGTGAAGACATCCGAGTTAAAACCCGTTTGAAAAATGTATGCATGTACTGATTTCCCGAACCTCCGACGGCATACTTGAGCTGTAGACTTGAGCACAGCTGGAAAGGTGGAAGAATCAGGAACATATCCATACTTATGCATCATGATATATACAAAAATTGATAGGAAATGCTTATTTGAGTGTGTAAACGATCGGATCATGGAGGTGCAGATTTCAGAATTGATGAAATCTTGGAACTGAGTGAATAGATGCGCGGAGACATCGGACCCAGAGGAGGAAAAAGACAGATCGATGAGCTTCATTAATGAAAATTCGTCAATAGCTATGTTATTGGTGATAATGTGTCCTAAAAACTGTTTCATGTGGTTGTAATCTGTGATGGATTTTAGAAGGAAGAGAGGTTGTTGTTGTTGAGTCATTTGAACTGGGCATTTTGTAAGGAGGGAGATTGAAGAAGTGCAGATGGAAGAGAATTGGATCCATCTGCTAGAAGTCGTAGAGATTCCGAGAGAAGAGAAGAATGACCTTGTCGTCATTCTTTCAATTAATGACCTAGAGCAAGATGAATTTACCCATAAGGCCATAAATATTGCGGATAACTTCAGTGTAGGCAAGGCTCCGTTTGCTAAGAGTGTGAATACAACTACGTAGAATACATTGGAGTGATTAAAAATAAGTGTTTATTCGAAAGAAGTATTTATTCGGGCTGAGACCATATACCATTAAATATTTATTGGTGTTTCGGAAATAAGTGTTTACTCTTTAAGCCCAAAATTTATTCTTTTAGTTTTGGATGCAAACACGAAGTGAGCTTGAAATTTACCCGTAAGGTGCTAGCCAGTTGTTGGTAAGGTCTTTGCTAATCTTAGTGGAGATTTGGAATCGAATCTCGTCTATACCTAAGTTGGGGGGTTATGGGTTGGAGGATGGGCTGGACTACCCCTATCCTCCAGTTGTATAGCACTTTAAAAGAAACTAAAAAAAAAAAAAGTTTGAAATTTACCTTTATTGTAATATATTAAACAACTTTTACTCTTTTAGGTGTAATAGATGCAAACTTTACCCTCGTTTTGGATTAAAAATTGTCTTGAAAATTATCAATTTTAATAAATAAATGCATTCTTACCATATACCAATAAAAATGAACCGGAATACATGTATATATGCACTGTATTGGCATTTCCACTCTTCTCAAACAGCTCAATTTGAAAAGATTAGGAGTAGGAGTACCAAAAGAAGAAGAAAAAAAAAAGATTACAAATAGAAATATGTAGAATGCAAATTGCAAAACGCGGTATGTATTTGCACTGTAACTATTTGTATTTGTACCCTTTCTAAAGAGAGCCATCTAGCGCTACAATCAAATTAAAGACAAAAATAAATCATCAACATCATGATGGCATGTATGGCTGGAGATGTGTGACCGAAATTATCTACTATCACAAATTGGGCTCGGATTTATTACCCACCAGTAATTGCAGCTGCGCATTGAGAATATCTCTGCAGAGATATTCCCGTGGTAATGTTTCGTGAGTATGGATGTGGGAACAATTTGTGGGTACCAGATCCGGTGTCAAAAATTTGTAACATTATATGTGGAACCCAGCTGCACTGATGGCCGCTGCACCCAGTTGGACAAAAAATGTTGAAGATGTATGATGTAAGATGACTAGAACTAGAAGTCACAGACAGCCAAGAAAAGACAATTCGTATGCTTGGATTTGGTCACAGAGTTTGCAGGAAAAAGAACGAGGAAATGAATTGAACACGGGATGACAACATCCTGGTCCTCAAGTGAGCGGGATGAGCACATTATGACACAACACAACATAGTCACGAACACAAGTACAACCTGGCCTGAGATCATTTCATATAAAGCTCAAGGGGTGGAGTTTGGAGAGTGGAACAATTAAAGCTAAATGGCCCCGCTCCTCTTATAGGATGCCATCTTGATTCAACGTCAAACTAGCTGAAGAAGAAGCCCTGAATTACATTTCTGGTTCTCTGGCTCTCTGCTTTGTAGCAAATCTCAACCATCCAACCTGGGGCACCCCAGAGGAGTGGCACCTGAGAACACAGGTGGTTGTGCTGCTGTACCACCAAGCAACTGATGCACCTGTTACCTGTGTTCTCAGGTCACCCCTTTGGGGAACCCTGTTCAAATGGCTGTGCAGCAAGAAGCAAGCAATCCTCTCAGTCCATTTACTGTTTTTTTGTCCTTTTTACTGTTATCAAACTTCTTCAATATTTTTAATTTGCATATATTATATTTGTGCAGGAAAACAGCTCAATCATGGACTTAATGCCAGCGGCAAACCGCGGATGAATACACGGTCACCAACAAGTTGCAGAAATTTAACATGCTAACTGCATTACCACGTGGCAAAGACAACAAATACTTCAGGTTCCATATATTCAATGTAGATTCAAAATTTTACAGAAATGAAATCTTTTTGTTGGAATGTGTCCAATCCAATCTTCTGAATGATAAAACCTGCCAAAGCATAGTAAGTTAATATTGTAATAATTTGCTTCTGGCATGTTTCATTGGCATGGCCAAGTTAAGATCATTCCACCAAACCAGAAAGCATCATTTGAAGTTTCAATATCAGACAACCCACCTGCCAAATAAATAAAGATTTGTATGTTAACCAACCAAATACGTCTTCAACAACTAATTGGCTTATTAAATATCAAAGACTATAAAAACCAGTAATTTAATTTCATGCATGCGCTGTTATGTATAAATTCATGGTACGAATAGTTGTACTGTGTTTCAGGAAATATTTGGCAGTACAATCTCCAGGGTCCAATTTCATATCGTATTGCTAAGAAAATGTCATAATCCATTACAACATGAACAATGATTGATCAATGGTCATCAATTCATCTCCCCAAGAACCGACTCTCAGCTGTACAGATGGTCCATCTCATATCTCGAGAGCTTATATTAATTTTTTGATTGGTCAGAGTTTATAGTGATTGCAAGTCAAGCAATCGTTTTGGGTCTGCTGGTGGATCTGCAACATTCAGTAGATGGCCCATGGGTTGAACTTTCTAGGTTGATGAATCTGTAACTAGTGTAATAAAAAAGCAATGGTCCATCACACTGCAAGCCTCGGCTCCACTATGCATTTCCACATAAGAAGTCAAGAACATTCCTTTCGGTGGATCAACTAATATAGTTCAATCTTAAAATTACAGAGTCCATTATAATCCAACAGTAAAGGATGAAAGCATACTGACACCTAAAATTCATATTTTGTTCTGTATAGTCATTTGAAAGGAAAGAATTAATTCTAAATTTCTAATATAAAAATAAAATTGGGGGGAGAGGAATAAACTCATCCCTCATTTACCTATAAAAGAGGTTCTGGCATCCAAACTTCAAAATATTCAGCAAGAGCATTAAAGATTTAACAGTTACTTGTCAAATCTTAGAAGTTAGAAATGGGCCCCTTGCTTTCCGCTCGGCATACTCATGGGCAATATTGATAGCGTTCTTGCTGTGGCGCAGTGAGAACTCTGCAAGTAGGATTTGGCTTTCTTCAATGGGCAGGTCACCATGACAACCCTACAAATGAAATAAGAACAAGTTCATTACCTTCTGTTGACATAAGAATGGATGCATATACATCTACTGTGATTGTGGCACCATTTATATATATTTTTTTAAATTGACATTGAATCTATTGGAGAAAAGATCAAAGAATTCCATCTTTGCTTTTATTAAACATAAGTTCATCTGACATATCATAGAATATCTTCTGCATAAGAGTTGTGAGTCATTAACGCCTGAAGCACCAGAGTACAACAGTTGTGAGTCATGAACAGTTTTCCATAATCATTGATTGTTATATTTCTTTTGTCAAAGAAACGCAGTGCAAAGAGTCATTACCAGGCAATTGAGATGGGAGGGAAAATGGTGAGGAACTAAGATGGGAGGGAAAATGGAGGGGATGGAGTTCGTGCAGGCAGGTCAGTGGAGGAGATCCTTGAAGATAGAAGCAAAAAATCTCCTGTTCGAAGAGATGAGAAGTAAGGGGAAGGTAAGCCTGAAGGTAAGGGAAGCGAAAAAGGGTACAATACTGCTGGAAGGATTAGAA